CTAAACCCAGAGCAAATATTATTTTATACCCATGCTTTAATGTAATGGTTTCCTGGGATGGAATTAACCTCAGGGGACCATTTCCTGTCTACAAAAACAAGGGAGCAGGGCTTATTTGTTCATGGTCATTGTACCCCACCCCCCAGGTGTTGCTTGACAMTGGGTGCTCACACTTTTTATAACCAAGCACATTTGTGTAGTTAGYGGATCTCTGGGCTTCAGTCTCACTTTCAATGGTATCGACAAGGCCTTGGCCAAACACCAAATTGCAGTTTCTTGTAATCTCRTGTGTTGCCTTAAAGGAAAGTAATGTTTGGGTTTTTCTCCATCTGAGTTGCAAAGCTTGCAGTTCTAGCACATACCTTGGCTCTAAGTCTTTTGGTTTAARTGTTTATACCTTTAGGTTGGTTTATGGACTGTTCATTCACCTGGGAACCTGTAAAAACTAAACTGTTTATACAGAAATCCTAGATGGAAKGCAAACATCACTGAATTCTGTTACTTTTTATTTATTTTTAATTCTAATTTGTTATATATGACAGCAGACTGCATTGAAATTCATATTACACATATAGAGAATAATTTTTCACATCTCTTGTTTTATACAAAGTATATTCACAAAATTTGTATTTTAATACATGTACTTAGGGTAATGATATCCATCTCATTCCACCATCTTTTAYCCCCTTTCCCCCTCCATTTCCCTCCCACCCCATTGCCCTATCTAGAATTTGTCTAACCCTCCCATGTTCCCCTTCCAAACCCCACTATGAATCAGCCTCATTATATCAGAGAAGACATTCCACATTTGTTTTTTGGGGATTGGCTAACTTCACTTAACATTATCTTCTCTAACTCCATCCATTTACCTGCAAATGCCATGATTTTATTCTCTTTTAATTGCTAAGTAATATTCCATTTTGTATATATACCACAGTGTCTTTATCCTTTCATCTATTGAAGGGCATCTAGGTTGGTTCCACAGTTTATCTATTGTGAATTGTGCCTGTATAAATATTGATGTGGCTGTGTCCTTGTAGTATGCTATTTTAAGTCCTTTGGGTATAGACTGAGGAGAGGAACAGCTGGGTCAAGTGGTGGTTCCATTCCCAGTTTTCCAAGAAATGCCATACTGTTGTCCATATTGGCTGCACCACTTTGCAGTCTCACCAGCAGTATATGAGTGTACCTTTTTCTCCACATCCTTGCCATCACTTATTGTTGTTTGTTTTCATAATATCCGCCATTCTGACAGGAGTGAGATGGAATCTGAGTAGTTTTCATTTGCATTTCTCTAATTGCTAGCATTGATGAACACTTTTACCTATATATGTTGATTGATTCTATATCATCTTTTCAGAAGAGTCTGTTCAGGTACTGGGCCCATTTATGGATTGGGTTATTTATTTATTTATTTATTTATTTTTGATGTTTAGCTTATTGAGTTCTTTATATAACCTAGAGATAAGTGCTATATCTGATGTGTGAGTGGTAAAAATTTGCTCTCAAGATGCAGGCTCTCTATTCACCTCACAGATTATTTCTTTTGCTAAGAAAGTTGGAGTCCATCCCATTTATTGATTCTTATTTTAATTCTTGCATCAAAGGAGTCTTATTAAGGAAGTTGGGGCCTAATCTCACATGATGGAGATTAGGGCCTACTTTTTCTTCTATTAGACACAGGGTCTCTGGTTTTATTCCTAAGTCCTTGATTCATTTTGAGTTGGGTTTTGTACATGGTGAGAGACAGGGGTTTAATTTCATTTTGTTGCATATGGATTTCCAGTTTCCCCAGCACCATTTGTTGAAGAGGCTATCTTTTCTCCAATGCATGTTATTGGTSCCTTTGTATACTATAACTGTAGTTTTGTGGGTTATTCTTTGTGTCCACTATTCTGTACCATTGGACTACCAGTCTGTTTGGGTGCCAATCCCATGCTGGTTTTGTTTCTATTGCTCTGTATTATTCTATTGTTCTGGTATAATGATGCCACCTGTTTCACTCTTCCTGCTAAGGATTGCTTTAGCTATTCTGGGTCTCTTATTTTTCCAGATGAATTACATGATTTTTCTATTTATAAGAGGAATGTCATTGGGATTTTAATCAGAATTGCATTAAATCTGTATAGTGCTTTTGGAAGTATGGTCACTTTGATAATATTAATTCTGCTTACCCAGGAGCACCGTAGATCTTTCCATCTTCTAAGATCTTCTTTAACTTTCTTTATTTAGGGTTCTATAATTTTCATTATATAGATCTTTCACCTCTTTAATTAAGTTGAATCCCAATTACTTTTTGAGCCTATTGTAARTGGGGTAGTCCCCCTCATTTCCATTTCTAAGGATTTACCACTGATGTACAGAAATGCATTTGATTTATGGGTGTTGATTTTATATCCTGCTACTTTGATGAATTCATTTACTAGTCCTAGAAGTTTTGTGGTGGAATTTTTAGTGTCTTCTAGGTGTAGAATCATATCATTAACAAATAGTGCCAGTTTGAGTTCTTCTTCTCCTATGTGAATCCCTTTAATTTCTTTCATCTGTAATTACTCTGACCAGTGTTTCAAGAACTATGTTAAATAGAAGTGGTGAAAGAGGGCATCCCTGTCTTCTTCCAGTTTTTAGAGGGAATGCCTTCAGTTTTCCTCCTTTAGAATGATGTTGGCCTGGGGCTTAGCATACATAGCCTTTATGATGTTGAGATATGTTCCTGTTATCCCTAGTTATGTTCTAGTGTTTTGAACATAAAAAGGGGTGCTGCATTTTGTCAATTGCTTTTTCTGCATCTATTGAGATGATCATGTGATTTTTATCTTCAAGTCTATTGACTTTATGAATTACATTTATTGATTTCTGAATGTTGAATCAACCTTGCATCCCTGGGATGAATCCCACTTGATCATGGTGCACAATATTTTTGATGTGTTTTTCTACTCGATTTGCCAGAGTTTAATTGAGAATTTTTTGCATCTTTATTCATTAGAAATATTGGTCTGAAGTTTTCTTTTTTTGATG